TCTAATGAAATTCTGTAGATGAATAAAAAATATCTGTGATTCTGATTGCATAATTTTAGTTCATAATTCTTAAATATTGATTGAAATTTAGGAACTAAAATTATTGTTATGATTATAAATTGAGTTATGTCTTAGTAGAAGTGAACAATTTTAGGGAATATTAATTTAGATTAGAGGTTAGAATAGAATGATTAATTTACATACATTTAGTTGAAAGCAATAAATTTATCAAAAAATTAACAATTTTTATAGATGTTAAAATATTGCATTGTAAATTTACATAATATTATAGAAAACTAAAATTAAGAAGTAGAATTTAAAATAAAAAATGTGAGAAACTGATAAAAGTTGTTAAAATTGACAAAAAGGTACGAAATTAAATATTACAATGAAAAATATTTTAAAAAGGAAACAAAATAATATTTTTGTCGCTCTACTTCATTTCTTTTAGAGATGAGGAATACAAAATTACATTTTATGGTGAAGCTATTGATATTTATTTAATATCAGTTTATTACTTATGAAAATATTTGAGGAATTGAGAAGATGATCAAATAACTTTATACATTCTTAAGGCAATTAAGTTATACTTAAGAAATATATGAGGATGTTCAGGTTAAATTCCAAATTTTACGATCAAGAAAATTCTCAACCAATAATATGGTTTAGACAATAAATTATGTTGAAATTAAAATGAATAAACAAATTCTTAATTGAAACCTTTACCAAGAAACTACTAAAGTAATAAAAGAGCACACTTATGCTATTAAATAAAAGACATCAACAAAATTAAATAGATAATTAATATTTAATTTATCATCTACATCGGCTAAAGTTAAAAGCTATTTAATTGGCCCCTCTATCTTCTGATAACCAAAATATAAGAATTTCTAACAGAATAGAGAACACTAATAGAGAAATTAAAAGAATCAGATTAAAGAAACATCTGGATTTAAATAGAAACTTAATAGAATACAATAGAAAAAGTTATAAATAAAATAGTAAACAATGCTGGATTTAGATAAATGTAATTTTATTTATATAATCTAGTATTTTTTCTATTATAAAATGATGTTGTCAGAATTAAAACAATTAGAATTATGAATTGAAGAAAAAGGAAATTAACCTTTGAGGTAATCATATTATTGTAAGAAAGAAAGGAGAACTTCTAACTATAACTTAAATAATTTAGAGTATATCTGAATTGATCATTTAATAAAGTAGAAAAATTAAGAATCTGAAACTCATTAAATAAATGATCCCACTTAGTGTGATTTCCTAGTTGAATGGAATGTATAACTATAGTTCAAATCAAAATAGATATTTAAGCAATATCAACAAATATAGAGCTGTTTTAAAAGGGTAATCTTTTCAAAATGTACTGCCAATTAAGCCCTTCTATTCAAAGGAAAAACTAAAATCAATCCAGAAAATTCTTAAATGGCTTATCCTATTTAACATTTGTTTATTTTAAAATAGAAATAAGTTTAGGATAATTAAGATATAACTTTACTTATTTTTCACGACGATGTAATTACTGAAATTATTTTAGGTAGAAAAAGATCAACGTCAAAAACAATCTAAAAATTTGATATATTTTTATATTCCTTCTGTTTTTGTTGATTAATTTTTATAAAATGTTTTGGTAACCATTTTAAGCCGGATTACTCAAAACAATGATATAACATCAAATTGTCAACCAGAAATTAAAAACTTAAAAATATTAACTAAATAATTAAACATCTAATAAGGATCTAACTTATATTATATAGAACCAAGATAAATAAATTGCGAGGAAGAATTAAAAAACATTCCCTAATTATTAGCTATTTTGCCTAATATTTTTATTGTAGAATTTTAGCTCTCTAATTTAATCAACGAAATAGTGAAGATTAACTTTCCTTCAAATTAGAGAAGAATGCATTTTAATAAGTTATATGACTAATGTAAATGTAGTAAGTGTGTGGAGTTCTCTATTTTCATTTATGCCTATTAATGGATTCTCACAATTATATTGAAATGGAATTGAATAGTTTCAGATTCAAAGAATGGCATTAATAATTCTTTCAGAGTAAAACAAGAAATGATCTAATAATTAGAAGGACCAGGAACTGTCTATGTTAATATATTCTGATGATGTTCAGTCTCTTACAATTTTTGAATGAATAATAAATATATTTATCTTATTTTAATTGAATTTAATTCGACACTAATTCTATTAGTAATTAGTTTCATCAATTAAATAATTAAGATATTTTGGCTTGAATATCTAAAATGCAACTAAGCCAGTTTTGTGACTATATTAAGCTTCTAAAATGAAATAAAATTGGATAGTTATTATGAATAATCTGGCACCTGGGGGTGTATATTTTCTTGATACCTCCAGTTTCAACCTATATGGTCTTGCATCCTCGATTGTCTTTTTTAACTACCTCAAAACTACTTAATATTTGAAATAGACCTTTTTCTATTATATTCGTATTTTTAGAAATTTAGAATCAGTAGCATAGATGTTATCTTTAAAAAGACTTTTTAAAAAGGTCCGAAATATAACTCATTTACTTTAATATTGGAAATGATTGTCTCAATAGATTAAAAAGCTTCAAGTTGATTAAAATCAATTTAATTATACAATCTTATTTGGGATAAATAAATTTTGTATTCTTTGCAGAAGCATATTTTTTCGATCTTAAAGCTAAGTACTAATGATATGAGGAATTAATTCATTTATTTTAATTTGTTATAAAATCAATAAATCTGCTAGTGAAAGAGTGTTAGTGTAATTTCATCTATGTAATTTATTGTATCATTATTATTATTCTATCAATGATTCTCAAATTTATTTATATCAAAAATATTTTGAAATTTAAATATAACCGTCAAAAAGAAATAATGTAATTTTTGGATAAAACTAATTTCGCTAACTATCTTAAAAAAAAAGAATAAATTTGATGAATTGAAGATGGAAAAATAAAAGTAATAAATCATTCAATACTTGAGATGCCAATACATTTTCAATTCTCCTAGTATCTATAATTATAAACCAAAATCATGAGAAAAAATAATAAAATATGAATATTTCAAGAGTAATTAATTATTATCAGGATAAGTATTATTGGCAGGCAAATCATTTACAAAGATTTAATTTGAATCATATTACTAATAATGAAGTCAAGATAATGTGTATTTACATACTACATCATTTATGTTAGATGCTGATAATTTTTTGTTATTGAGGCCAAAAAGCGAATCTAGTATATTCCAGATCTCTTGAATTTGGTGTTTCAAAGAATTCTAAATTATTTAGATGTTACTGAATTGTTTCAAATTTTATCCTCATGGTATACTGAAAATAAATCTTAAAGACCTATTACACTCTCAGCCCTATTTGAAATATGAAAATCGCCTATTCATCATTTTCACTGATAATGAATTATAACCTTTTTGGTTATTTAGGTGCTAATTTTCCTGGAATAATATAAAAATATCATATAATCAAATTTCCTAAACTATCATAAACTTTGATATACATATTTTTTTTTTGAATATAGCAAGGATTCCCTAATAGTTTTCAAGCAATTAAAAATTTATAGGGTTAAGAAGCTAAACCATAATAAGACTAACATGAATATATGAAAAATCTTAAAATAAAGTCCTTATATTCTAATTATATTTGAAAAATTAACTTTAATAATCAAATAAAAAGTATATAAAATTTATTAAGACAATATTTTAGAATCTAAATAACGGTGGGTTTAATATAAAAAATGATAAATTATAATAATTGAAATGATACTTTAATACAAATCAAATGACTTATTATTAATTTTTCTATATAAAATTCAAGATAGACAACCTTTGGACCAAGAATTAGTTTTTAAATTTTATTTTAACTTAATAGTTAAATCAATTTTTGTTATTTAAGACTTTAGTAAAAGAGGCTAAAGGAAAATATTTCCAAAAATCGTTTCTACATATCATTGTTCTATCATCGTAGTTAATATTATTTTTCTATTTACAAATCATTTGCATAGGTCACAAATCCTATTACATCAAAAGAAACTAAATTCAAAACACCAACCTATATAATCCAATTAAATTATTAGGGGAAACATTTGTTAACGTATTGGTCACTTTAGTTTAAAATCCAAAAGGTCTAATAAACAAGTTTTTAGGTTATGAGCCTCACCTATCTGAAGTTAAATCACTCATTTCAACAATTTAGAAATCTGTATATCTACGATCAGAAACATTGTAAATTAAATAATATTCAATTATTATTGATATCAGATGCAATATTATGAGAAGCAAAATTAAATGTGGGATTAAAATTAAAGATAATGATTTTGCATTCAAAATAAGTATAAACAACAAATAAGTATGATAATAATATTACATATTTACCTTTTACTTTAATTAAATTTCTTTTTATTTATAATCGATTTTTATTAATAGTTTAGCTCTATTTGGTTTATTTTAAATGGTAACTCAAATTTCTATTATCAATTCTAAAATATCGATATAAATAATACTTAAAAGAAGTTAATTAAATTAAAAAAATGAAAATTTGGAAAATTTAGACTTTATTAACAAAGAATTTGATAATCTCAAATAAATAGAATAACCAGAATTTTTAATCGAAAAACAGCTGAAATAATAAAATCAAATTCTTTATTTATTTCTTTCTTATTCTTAATTACACTTATGAAAATAATAAATTACAAAAATCATTCCGCTAACATTTTTATCCATCCTAAAAGGTGGTTAGTGTATTGAAGACTCATCTAGCAAATATTTCTTTCATGACCCATGATTATGATTTTTTTCTTAGCAAGTTTAATCTATATCAATAATTACACAAATATAAGTGCATTCACCATCAGAATCAACTTTGGATTGATTGCAAGCTATCAGACTTAATTTTAATATTATACCATTCACACCTATTTATTATCATTAATTTTAATTTGGAAAATTTTCATTAAGGAATATCTTATTAAGGCACTTCACATCCTTTTGCCAATATAAATAGTCTTTTTAATTTTTGAAATTTAAAATCACTATCCATTTTTTTGTTTTTTTATAATCAAAAATTGATCAAAGAATCCACAAGTTTATTTTTATTTCAATATATAATAATGAAATTTTCATGGAATCCGAATAAGTTTAAAAAGGATTGATTAGGGCTAAATTTTATTGCATCTCATACTAGTGAATCGAAATATGTAATAAATTAATTTACTTAATTTTCTAACCCAGAAATTGATAATAATTGTAATTGTGAACAATTTGATTAATAACATTAATAGAATGGAATTTCAAATTGACAAGCAAACTTTAAATTAAACTAACTTTGGATAGAAAATATTTATGAAGAAGAAAAAATTAATAATTAATATAATATTTTAAAAGTAGATTTTGATTCTTAAAATGAGTAAAGTAAACAATCTGATGTTATTTTGAATTAAGTAAACTATTAAATTATTATCTAGTCATCAATAAATTGAATTGCCAATTAATAGAGCAACTAAACAAACCTTTAAATTTCAAAAATTCATTTCTATATAATAATATATTATTACATTGAACAATTCGATCTCAATCACCATATTAATCTCTTCTACCTTTTCAAACCTTCTCTAATTTTATATTAATCTATCTTCATTTTCACCCATATGCCAACTATAATACAATTTTCATATTCAAATTTAAAGTGCTTAAAATCATTATCTATGACAATCCACTTTAGTTTTTACTTTAATTTCTTAAAGCTCTCAAACAATCCTTTTAATTTTTTATTTATTCTTACAATCATCATCTTAGCTCTTTTATTAACAAAACTACTACCAAAATTTCTTCCAAAGTTTATACCAATTAAACATGGACCAACGTCCGAGTTGAGATTTTTTTTATACTTTTAACTCATTTCAATTACTGTTAATATACAATTTCNTTTATCCATCCTAAAAGGTGGTTAGTGTATTGAAGACTCATCTAGCAAATATTTCTTTCATGACCCATGATTATGATTTTTTTCTTAGCAAGTTTAATCTATATCAATAATTACACAAATATAAGTGCATTCACCATCAGAATCAACTTTGGATTGATTGCAAGCTATCAGACTTAATTTTAATATTATACCATTCACACCTATTTATTATCATTAATTTTAATTTGGAAAATTTTCATTAAGGAATATCTTATTAAGGCACTTCACATCCTTTTGCCAATATAAATAGTCTTTTTAATTTTTGAAATTTAAAATCACTATCCATTTTTTTGTTTTTTTATAATCAAAAATTGATCAAAGAATCCACAAGTTTATTTTTATTTCAATATATAATAATGAAATTTTCATGGAATCCGAATAAGTTTAAAAAGGATTGATTAGGGCTAAATTTTATTGCATCTCATACTAGTGAATCGAAATATGTAATAAATTAATTTACTTAATTTTCTAACCCAGAAATTGATAATAATTGTAATTGTGAACAATTTGATTAATAACATTAATAGAATGGAATTTCAAATTGACAAGCAAACTTTAAATTAAACTAACTTTGGATAGAAAATATTTATGAAGAAGAAAAAATTAATAATTAATATAATATTTTAAAAGTAGATTTTGATTCTTAAAATGAGTAAAGTAAACAATCTGATGTTATTTTGAATTAAGTAAACTATTAAATTATTATCTAGTCATCAATAAATTGAATTGCCAATTAATAGAGCAACTAAACAAACCTTTAAATTTCAAAAATTCATTTCTATATAATAATATATTATTACATTGAACAATTCGATCTCAATCACCATATTAATCTCTTCTACCTTTTCAAACCTTCTCTAATTTTATATTAATCTATCTTCATTTTCACCCATATGCCAACTATAATACAATTTTCATATTCAAATTTAAAGTGCTTAAAATCATTATCTATGACAATCCACTTTAGTTTTTACTTTAATTTCTTAAAGCTCTCAAACAATCCTTTTAATTTTTTATTTATTCTTACAATCATCATCTTAGCTCTTTTATTAACAAAACTACTACCAAAATTTCTTCCAAAGTTTATACCAATTAAACATGGACCAACGTCCGAGTTGAGATTTTTTTTATACTTTTAACTCATTTCAATTACTGTTAATATACAATTTCTAAATAACCATTTTAATTCTATTAACAATTTTTATTAATTTTTAAGTACTAAATTTAATAATAAATATATTTATTACACACTTTAGTATTCTTAATAAATTAAATATGTGATTTCTAGATTTTTTATTTAATAGAATTAAAGTCTTTATATTCACTTAGTCAATTCTTTAAATAACAATAATTATATGAATAAAGGAATGTCTTACCCTATAAAAATTAAATACGATACATTATCATTATTGAATCTATAAAAAGTTAGATATAAAAATCCAGTAAGATTATTATATAAATTAGGCTTTAACTATTTATTGTTAACATTACAAATTTTGTTTTGAAATGCAAGAAGCCTTGTAGGAAATTGAAAAAAAAAAATATTATTAATGTCCATATTGTAGTTCATAAGCAAAGTGCCAAACTGATTTAGTTTAAGATTGGAGAGTTAAAGCTTATTAAGAATTTAATGAATTGGTTGAAGATGTAACTATAATTAAAGGAATTATGGTTAATAAATATACAGGAAATAAAACTAAGAATTTTTTCATGATAGATGAATGTTCTAATTAATTTTTTAAAATGTTCGAGAGAGCTTCTCAGGATAATTCAATAAATTTCTTAATATAAAAAGATTTGGAAAAATAGAACTTAAATTAATAAGGTAAAATAAATTTTTGGAATTTTTGTTTGTTAGACAGAGTGAAAATAAATATCCCAGTAAGAATATTTGGATGCAAACATTATGAATGTTATGAATTAACTAGTTTATTACTCTATTGGTAGTAACATAGATAAAAAAAAGAATATTTTGAATGCAATCATGCAGGATGTTCAAGTAGATTAAGAATTACTAATAATGCTAAAATTCAAACATCAAGATAAAGTATTTAAACATAAAACTAAGACTCTAAGTAAATAGAAGAAAAAGAGAGAATACTTGATTTATAAACATTATTTTCAGGCATCTGCATAGATTTGGATTTATTGAATGCAATAAATAAAAGTAATCCCAGTTCATTCAAATTTTATTATAATAAATAAACTAAAAAGATAGAAGAAGATATTAATAGAGTGAATGACTAATTAAATGATCCATTCATTTTTAAATTCTATCAACAGAATAAGGATTTATAAAATAAAGTTTCATTCTAAGTCTTCCAAAAACTAATATTTTAATAAGCAATGCCAATAAGTCAAGGTGATCTCTTATAAGAAGACAAGAAATTAGGCAAATCAGTAGCTTTGAATAAATACAGAAATTATAAAGTAAAAATGATAGATTAATACACATAACTTATTATTGAATATCCTGTTCGATGTAAATTTTGTAAAGATCTAACAGTTTGTATGGATATGAGGAGTTATATTGCAGATTTTATTTATTAAAAAACAATGAATCCATTTAAATATTATACTTGTCCATTATGTAAAACTTAATAAACAGGTTAAATGTTTAAGGTGTTAATTTAGAATTACATATATTTAGATTAAAATATGCTTTCATATATGTTTAAAGACATGTCTTATACTAAAGGAACAAACATTTTTGAATATAAGGGTGAATAATATATGCTTTAAGAATTTATGGATAGATAAAAGATCACAAGAGAAACTTATATAGCAAGCTTAACAGAAAGATAGGTTTTATTTAAGTAACTGTTTTGTGGAGTTAAATAAGATTTGAGAATTAAATAACCTTTAATCATCTAAAACTGTCCTCAAAAAAAAATTGTTGATTTTAAATCATTTTATGAAAAATTAAAGGAGATAAATTTTGATTTAGAAAATGAAGAACTTATATTATGTAAATGCAGTTCATGCTATTCAAAACCAATTAAGTCTTTTATTGGAAATATCTATTTTCATGAAGCATTTCATGAAGCCCTCAATAAATTTTATTTACATAAAGAATCAGAATAAGATATAGAGTTCACTTACAAATTTACTGATAATGAAATTGATAGTATGATTATCCGAAAAACAATACCTACTAAAAATCATAAAATTAAAATAGTACAAAATAATGATGCAATAAGAGATTCTTCCAATTTAAGAAATCTTTATGGGGATGAAGGGTTTTTGGATTTAATGAATGATGAGGAATATTAAAAGTTCTTTCTTAAAACAGATATTGAAGGTTACGCTTATAAAGCTTATAGGATGATATAGAATATAGGTCAAATATAAATCTATTACTAATAGGAGGGTATTCATGCAAATGTTAAAGAATTAGTGGAAAATTTTAATAAAAATGTCAATCAAGATTTAAAAAAATTTTTATTCAAATTATCCAGCATTTAAATTCACTTAAATGATGATGTATTAAATTTTGGCAAAAGAACAATCAGTTATTAGTAAAAATGAGTACTTATTTAAAAATTAAAGAAATAAATATATTTTAGTTTTTTTATCAGCCTTAATTAATTAAAGGAATACTTCCTCTCATATCCACTCCATTATTATGTTATTATATATATTCTAAGCATTCTAATATAGATTACTAAAGTTTTTTTATAACAATATTAATACATATTAAGAATGAATAAATTCAGATTCTATGTAAAAAATCATAAATCTGTGGAATGTTCACATTAGAAGGAAAGCATGACTATGAATAAATATTATATTCATCGAATCTATAACTTCTTTATTTTAATCATTTATTATTGACAACATTATCATTACTATTAATACTATTTTTTAACATTATTTTTAACTGTTTTACTTTCTGTCATCCCTAAAGTTCATCTCCTATCAACAAAATTAGTTACTATTTTTATTCTCCATTATGAGTTATTTATTTTCTTTCTCCAAATCGCAATACAAATCCATCCATTTAAACATCTCCTTCACACCAATAAACAAATTAATTCATCAATGATATCATTTAAGCAGTCATAATTATTAATTTCTTCTCACACATTATATTATATATTGAACTCAATAAGTTTTCTAATTTATTTAATATAATTGAAACATTGATTAAATAATAATAAATGTATTACATTATTTAACTTCGGTCAAAATATTTGGATTTGCAGATCAGCACATTAGATTGATTTGCTAAATATTATTTCTCTCTTAATAATAAGCATGAACATTGTTGTAGAATTTCATTGAGCAATCTACAAGAGGACTCATTTTTCAAATCATTAAGAGCCCTAATTAAATGAAAATGAGAGTAAAATATTGATCAGCTCTCAGATATCTCTAAAATTCATTGAAATAAGCTAAAGTTAAAAGCATAAATATCATTATGATGAAATTATTGTTTCTTAATATATTGATGCCTCATACCAAAAAACATAAATTAATTCAGATTTCTGATTACTATATGATTTCCTTTAGGTTAAAGAAAACGAGTCTCTACTAATTTTTAATTAATAAACTTTAACTTACTGAAAATCAGCATACAATAAATAAAAAAATAGTAATGAACTTAAATAAAAAAAAAACTACACATTAATTAAAGTATTCAAAATTCATTAGTGTAGAGATTATTTAATTACACATCTATTATAAAAAATATTTCCTGATATTTTATGATAAGGTCAATAGGCTCAGATGATGCATTAATCATTTTAAACTATCTTGAATCAAATCGTAATAGAATAACCTAAGAACTGTTAAATAAAAAGGTTACTTCAAGATATATAATTACCTCAGCTATCATATAGTAAATAATTAAAATCTTAAAAATTTATAGATTAAAAATAAAACCGATAAAATGTTACTTGTAATAAATTTATATATGTTTGCTTAATAAACTATATAATTAATCAATGTTTTAATTATATTTCAAAGAAAATACTTACTTTCTCTTCTATGTGATATCCTTCAATAGCAATTTAATTTAGAAGGGAATTTAAATAATAATATTAATTATAAAAGGACATATTATTATTATGATTGAATTACAATAATAAAAGTAAATTAATCATGATAATTTTCAAGGTTCTAAAGTAAATTATAATTACATTTAATTATTAATTAAATATTGAGATGAAAAATATTATGAGGACTTAGAATTATAAAATTAATCTATCTAAATTAATCCAAATTACTAGATAGGCTTGTTTACATATTCTTACCTGCAAGAAGTGTTTGTTTAATTTAAATAATATGTTCTCCTATATCAATTACAAGAGTAGAAAATCATAAGTAATAGGATTCCATTATTATTTTTAATTTTAATGTTATGAGTTATTAAAAATTTCCTACCTTTAATAAAATTCTATTTACATAACAAAATTCCAAATAATATACTGAATTCATTTAAAATCAGACTTTTAAGAAAATTTTACTAAAAAAATTATCAAAATAGTCTGGATAAAATGATAAAACTTTAACTTAAATTTTTCTATTTAATAATTTAATTAGAAACATATTATGTAAGGAAAATTCAATGATTTTTATTATCATATGAAATATGCTTAAAATAATTGTTTAAATCCTAAAATAATACGTTTAGAGTAATTATAGTAGATCAATCTTATACTTTCAATTATAGCATGATATCTATCAGAAATTTGATTTTTTAAGAAATAATTTAGAAATTAAACTAGATATATTACATTTTGTAACAACCCATTAAATGTACAATAATTATAAGATAATGAGGTTTGAATAAAAAATACTATTAATATTTCTGGTCTATTAATAATAAAATATGTATTAAATGATAAATATATAATCCAATTTAATATTATTGTATATCTTCAGTGTAAGATCTATACTTTTGTTTCTATTTTTTGAAAATCATTAAAAGAATTTCAATTAGGTAGAGTTTGCAAAAATGAAAAAATTTCTTTTTGATACATCAATAGGTTATTTTACGATTGTTTTGATTTTTTATCTTTTTGATAATATATATATATTCTAAATTTGTTAATTTGAGAATTTAAGTAATTTAATCAAGTTGTCTAAAAATTCATTATATGATGTTTTTATTAATCAATTTAAAAGTTTAGTTAATTAGTTTAAATTACATTTATTTTGTTAATTTAAAGTAATATAAAAAGAGCTTTTAATTTGAATTGAGTTCAAATTTATCTTTTGAATAAACAATCTTCTTTCAAGAGGATTTTCTTCATAAGACTAAAATTTATAAAAATTTATTAAATTCATACTTGAAAATATAAAGCTTGTTTTATCAGCTTTAATAAAAAATTTTACTAAACTCAAATGTGCTTATTTTAAATTAATAATAACTAAAAAGTTATTTAAAATCTATAATAATTATTATTAATCAAGTGCAATATGTAAAGTATATTCAATTCAAGAAATGAAAAAATCATTCTTAATGATATCAATCTTAAATAGAACTATTCCAATTTTATTGAATAGAATTTTAATTATCCTCCAAAAAATATCAGATTTATTAATTTTAATTTATTATCATTAAATACAAAATACAATATGAGACAAACAATAATGACAAAGGGAATATTATATACAATAAATAAAAACATGTTAGTATTATCTTCTCGATTTAATTATTATTAATATTGTTCTTATAGAACTTTAGATTTCTTTTGGATTTGCAATAATAATAATTTTATGCTCGCTGATATAACAAATTGAATAAAGCATCATAATTGGAATTTTTTAAATACATTCCGAATATAACCAATGCAATTTTTAATTCACTTTTCTATCAATCACACAATTACAAAATTGCGATTCTTTAATATATTTATAATAGATTTGAATTTACTTATTTTTATACTTAATCCTTTCATAACTCTTTTCTCTATATGGCTATCCTTAAGTGTGGAAAAATACTAAAAATGTTATTCTTGATCTAACACCCCTATAAATTATTAAAATAGTTGTGGATTTCTTAATGTTTACCTATTGTTGAGTATATGGAGGCAAAAATTTATGAGTTATGACTATCAAGATTTTGTAAACTTTTTCCAATTGATTGACTCTAAAAGTATCTAAAATGAATATCACATCTTTTCCATAATTGATTGCTTACATTCTTAAATAGAAGAATCAAATGATGAGTATACACTTCTCCGTTAACTGTTCCAATCAGTACTTAATATGGAAATAGCCATTTTTACTTATTTCCCCTAATATTCTTATAGATGATGTTGGCTAATANTATACTTTTGTTTCTATTTTTTGAAAATCATTAAAAGAATTTCAATTAGGTAGAGTTTGCAAAAATGAAAAAATTTCTTTTTGATACATCAATAGGTTATTTTACGATTGTTTTGATTTTTTATCTTTTTGATAATATATATATATTCTAAATTTGTTAATTTGAGAATTTAAGTAATTTAATCAAGTTGTCTAAAAATTCATTATATGATGTTTTTATTAATCAATTTAAAAGTTTAGTTAATTAGTTTAAATTACATTTATTTTGTTAATTTAAAGTAATATAAAAAGAGCTTTTAATTTGAATTGAGTTCAAATTTATCTTTTGAATAAACAATCTTCTTTCAAGAGGATTTTCTTCATAAGACTAAAATTTATAAAAATTTATTAAATTCATACTTGAAAATATAAAGCTTGTTTTATCAGCTTTAATAAAAAATTTTACTAAACTCAAATGTGCTTATTTTAAATTAATAATAACTAAAAAGTTATTTAAAATCTATAATAATTATTATTAATCAAGTGCAATATGTAAAGTATATTCAATTCAAGAAATGAAAAAATCATTCTTAATGATATCAATCTTAAATAGAACTATTCCAATTTTATTGAATAGAATTTTAATTATCCTCCAAAAAATATCAGATTTATTAATTTTAATTTATTATCATTAAATACAAAATACAATATGAGACAAACAATAATGACAAAGGGAATATTATATACAATAAATAAAAACATGTTAGTATTATCTTCTCGATTTAATTATTATTAATATTGTTCTTATAGAACTTTAGATTTCTTTTGGATTTGCAATAATAATAATTTTATGCTCGCTGATATAACAAATTGAATAAAGCATCATAATTGGAATTTTTTAAATACATTCCGAATATAACCAATGCAATTTTTAATTCACTTTTCTATCAATCACACAATTACAAAATTGCGATTCTTTAATATATTTATAATAGATTTGAATTTACTTATTTTTATACTTAATCCTTTCATAACTCTTTTCTCTATATGGCTATCCTTAAGTGTGGAAAAATACTAAAAATGTTATTCTTGATCTAACACCCCTATAAATTATTAAAATAGTTGTGGATTTCTTAATGTTTACCTATTGTTGAGTATATGGAGGCAAAAATTTATGAGTTATGACTATCAAGATTTTGTAAACTTTTTCCAATTGATTGACTCTAAAAGTATCTAAAATGAATATCACATCTTTTCCATAATTGATTGCTTACATTCTTAAATAGAAGAATCAAATGATGAGTATACACTTCTCCGTTAACTGTTCCAATCAGTACTTAATATGGAAATAGCCATTTTTACTTATTTCCCCTAATATTCTTATAGATGATGTTGGCTAATAATAATCTCTAATTTTCAATTAATCTCATCTTGCCAACTTTTAGGAATTTTAACATTATGTCCTAGATTTCATTAATCTATAAATATATATTTATTACTTCTTTTTGGATTTGAGTAATAACGAATAGAGCAAAATCGAATTTTTATTCAATAATTTTTCTACCTGATGCTCTAATATTACCTTTGATGGGTATCCTATATGAACATTTAGCATAATATTTTATTATTTTTTTAAATGTTGTAATTACCCATGTATATCAATTAGATTTACAAGCTTATTTCATGTGCTTATATGGGTAGCCTATAAAATCTCTCTGCTAAATTACTAATATGATAATCTCGTACCACCTCAGGAGGTGAATTCATCACTTCTTTGCAGAGTAAACACCTCTTAGTTTCAATCTAGGAATCTAACTAGTGAAAACTCCTTTTTCTCCAAAATATACTATCCCTCCAATTAATTATAATTACTAAACTACTTCATCTTTATCTAAGCCTTATTAAACTTCTCTACCTTTATTAATTATTTATTCAACACCTTCTTATTAATTCTGAGTTAAATTAATATTATTTTTTAAAAGAAAGCATAGTAAATTTTTTTTATTATTATTTATAAATTTTAACATATTTTTATTCTAAGACTCTTTAGATTTAAATATTATTTTAAATTCTTGAATTTCTTTATTATTCCCAAAGACTCCAATTTTTAGGCAATAAACTTAATGATAACACATGATCTACATAAGTTAATATAATTTTTAACTTTAATTTTACGTCGGCATTTCTTTTCATATATATTGCAGCCATAATAAGCTTATGATCTGATATAATCTTACCAAATTAATTTTCTTTTTTCTGAGATCAGCATAAAGAATTAATTTTTAAACTTTGTTCAAGTTTAATACTCCTATACGTCCTATATTTCCGACCCTTTTTTTCTTCGCATTATTCTATCAGATATCTCCATATGAATTGTATCTAAACTAGATGTGATGTCTCATTTTATGATAAAATTTTTAGTCTCAAAATTCTCCATTCTTCTCCCACTTATTCCCATCATGATTCCAATCACTATCTATTTTGATGTATTGTACTTTTTTAATATGCTATACCAGTCTTTGACAAAAAAGTTGTATTTTTTTTTGGAGCAATAGATGATTGGACAGAGAATTAATTTGTATTTTTTTTTTCTCTTCTATCAAACAATTTTATACATAATCTTTTTTCTAAGTACTTGTGCACTAATTAGGTATCATCTTCCAGTTTTCTCGTTCCGTAAGGAGTAAGGTCAATGTAGGCCTTAATCTTTAAGACTCATCTTTTTCTTAGATTTCAGTTTTAATTTGATTATCATTTTTATTCTTCACTTCTCCACAAAATTTCTCATTAGAATTAAAAATAATTAAGTAAACTTATATGTGTTATTGGAATATCAAACCTGAAAGAAATAATATAAGACTTAAATTGTACTCTTAAAAGTCTTGCTGATAATTTTCTCATAATAATGATTGCATATGATATAAAAATATTCCAAATGATATTTTCTCCCTAAAAAACTATATTGATTTAAATTAAATTTTTTTATGGAGAAATAATTATCTTAATTTGACTTAATATTGGTCAAATCATTAAAAAATTATAGGGTTCGAGTAAATCCAAAGACCATTAGTAAAATCATAATCTACCTGAAAAAAATTCTAAATGCAATCTAATTATATTTTATTAAGAAAACTTTATTTACATATCAAATGATGATACCTTTAATACATGATTTTTAATTCTGAAATAAGACTTTTAATTAGGATATAAAGAAAGGTAGAAATTGAGAATTATGATGGTACTCCCATTAACTTCAGAAACAATTGCATCAAAATTTATAGGTCATTGACTCAAGACTTTAGCTTCAATACCAAAAATGAAGAGTGTAATACTTTTATGATTAAACATCTCATCTATTGTAAAAGTTATTTTTTGTATAGAAATCGAGAAAATAATAAAATTTTGAACATATAGCTTAAGTACTTATTTGAAAAGCAATATACCAAAAGGAAGGGTTTTATCTTTTTTCTAACTTTATGAACACTGGAAGGAAATTGATATATCTATAATAAGGAGGAGCATATAAATATACAATTTTTAACGCCTTTGTCTATTAATAAATATAAAAAAAACAAAAAATTAACAGATAATTTATTGTTATTTTCACTTAGAGTTAACTGTACTAGTTATAAAATTTGTCTATATTCAAATTAATTTAATAACATTAAATTTTCTTTAAATCTTGAGGTATGTAATTTATTTTTTATCAAGCTCCTAAAGTATTATAAAGACTAAACTTATTTGATTATCTATTTCAAATTAATTTATTACCCTTCTCATTGTAATTAATCATTTTAAGTAGATTTTATTTTTAACTATTGTAACTGAAATTATTTAGTCAAATATGTACTTACATATACTAGTTGTATTACTGAAAAAGAATTATATATTAACTTAAACATAATTATTCATGTATTTAATAATTCATATGTTGAAAATCCTTTCTATTAATCATCCCATAAATCAAATATTGTCCATTATTTGTGATAGTCCCATAAATAAAATATGTGTTACAATTTAAATAATCAAGTATTTTAAACTTCCCATCTTTCATTTCTTTAAATATATAAATATGTGTTTTATGTCTTACTATTATCAAATTCTTCTCCTGATTATACATTATTGGAAAGCAATAGTCATCAAAGATATAATTATTTCTAAATAATTGAATAGTCTTTTCCTAATTTTCCTAAAAGATTCCTTCTTTTAATTCAAATACATAAAATTTATTTATGACTTTACCACCACTTATCCAAATAAATTAATTGTCTTTAATAAATTTAACTTTAAACCCATAACATTCAATTGATTATTTAACAAAATTTTTGAATTCATACTTATCTTGTTCTCTTCTTTCCCAAATAATAATTTCATTATCACCACCTGCACATGAAACTAATAATGTTTCTGATTAATTTAAACTTAACGCAAAAACTTCCTTATAATGTTGATATAATGAATAAATGTATGTCAATATATTTTAATCAAAATCAACCTTCCATACTTTAATTAATTTATCATCACTTCCAGAAAATAGTAAATCCTCATTTGAATTCAATAAGAGACAAATTACAAAATCTGTATGTTATTTATAAGGTTATGAACTTATCCAATCACTTGAGTCCTATTATTTCCAGCATCTTATGGTCGTGTCACCTGAAACAAAACAATTCTATTTCTTACTATAAACTAAACATTAAATCCATTTAGTATGTCCTTACAATATGTTTATTAATTGAATTTTTCCGTTTAGAAAGCTCCATACTTTAATATCTTTCGATTAAGTTGATACCATAATTGACCCAGAAGAATCAAAAACTATATTTTAACATCCCACACTTTATTTAACAGATTAATCAATTAACTTTAATTTTGCTTTACTTTTTTGTGGATGAATTGAACAAAAGATGTTTGTAAATTTTTATTTTATTCATTAAAGTTAACTTTATCTTTATCTTAAATATATTAATTTAAGATCTTCAATAGTTTAGCCATCCAAGATCTATTAATATTATTGATTAATGTTATATTAGAATCATTAATATTATTCTATTTCTTAATAAAGCTATCTAACTCATCATAGAAACTGTATTATTTTGATTATTATGTTAAGGCAAATAAATTTTATGTCCAATCCTCTACTATACTAATTAGAGAATCAAATAATTTCATAAAATATGCCTTTAATTCTTATATACTTCTATTACAAATTTATAGTTATTAAACTGTTTGCTAAGTGATACCCTCTAAGTCGCTCATAGTTTTCTTGATATTATCTTCAATAATCTAGATTATTTTTTTAAATCCTATTGTCTTTGCATCTGATTCGAAATTTTCCATACATTCAGTACATAAAAGTCTTTGTTTCTTATCTAGCTTTGGATCAAGCACAACCAGATGAACTGGTTGGCCATGTTTATTTTGACAATGCAAATTGTTTTCATTTTCTATCATTTTTGGTTTAAACATTTAATTAAATAATAATAAACTTTATTGGGATGAGATTTAGACTTTTACTTCAAAAACAATTTAATTTTTAAACGTTAAAAAAATAATGAAGTTAGTTCAAATTATAAATAGTAACAGAAATATAAGTCTTTTTTAGCCACTTATTTCAATTTCAAAATAAAAATTAATAAAATTGCAAATTGTGTAGTAATTTCTCAACTACATAAATACTTTTTACAATTATGAATTGATTCATCAATAAAAACAACTCATCAATGAAGCCGATTATTTAGTTAGATGTCAAATTTTTTTAAGTAACTGTAACTCTAATACAATAAATATCTACAATAGAATATCCATCGAAAGGAATAAACATTTAGATTATGTAAAGTTTAAATTATTTTCAAAATAAAGGGACAAATATCAATCAGAGAAGTCTATAAATACTAAATCAAAGTAAAACTTCACTTATAATGATATGTTACCAGATTCTACCATATATCAGTAAAATAAACTTGAAGAATATAAATTAGAAATCTATAATAAATCTATACAACTAATTGATATGAATCATAATTTTGTACATTAAAGCTAAATAATATATTGTTTTATACTGTAATTACAGAATTATGGCAAGAAAGTTATTTTGAGAACTCTAGACAAATGGAGAAAGATTTACTATTTATTAGATTTATTCCACTAAATAAAAAGCACAGAAGTCTTTTTTAATTAAAAAAATTGAACAAGTTAATATCACTACTGAATGATACAATGCTAAATAAAAATTCCATAAGGAATACGAATTACAATTCTTGTATAATATCAATAATAATCTAAAATTTATGCTCCTATTTAAAAAAGAAATATAAGATTAAAAAATGGAGTTTTTTATGTATCTACTCTCAGTCTTTATATATTTTACTGTTGTATTGTTTTTAATTGATTCTCTTTAAGAATTTTTTATGGATTCCTAACTGAGGAGAGATTTCTGAGGTAAATTTTTTAATCAATAACACTACAAGAAAAAACAACAGATGTTATTCAAAGGCCTAAATCTCAAACTTTTAAAATGTTTGTTAATTTAATTTTATATAAATATATTCTTGATAATTTTTTTAAACATTTAAGTATTGAGAAAAATAATTAAATTTGAGAATTTATTCTCAGAATTTGGGGAACAGTTGAAACTAAGTAATATTTAATAAATATATTCTCCAAGTAGATTTGAAAGAATTGTGATCTGAATATATTTGATTGGAAATTATTTNTTATTCATTAAAGTTAACTTTATCTTTATCTTAAATATATTAATTTAAGATCTTCAATAGTTTAGCCATCCAAGATCTATTAATATTATTGATTAATGTTATATTAGAATCATTAATATTATTCTATTTCTTAATAAAGCTATCTAACTCATCATAGAAACTGTATTATTTTGATTATTATGTTAAGGCAAATAAATTTTATGTCCAATCCTCTACTATACTAATTAGAGAATCAAATAATTTCATAAAATATGCCTTTAATTCTTATATACTTCTATTACAAATTTATAGTTATTAAACTGTTTGCTAAGTGATACCCTCTAAGTCGCTCATAGTTTTCTTGATATTATCTTCAATAATCTAGATTATTTTTTTAAATCCTATTGTCTTTGCATCTGATTCGAAATTTTCCATACATTCAGTACATAAAAGTCTTTGTTTCTTATCTAGCTTTGGATCAAGCACAACCAGATGAACTGGTTGGCCATGTTTATTTTGACAATGCAAATTGTTTTCATTTTCTATCATTTTTGGTTTAAACATTTAATTAAATAATAATAAACTTTATTGGGATGAGATTTAGACTTTTACTTCAAAAACAATTTAATTTTTAAACGTTAAAAAAATAATGAAGTTAGTTCAAATTATAAATAGTAACAGAAATATAAGTCTTTTTTAGCCACTTATTTCAATTTCAAAATAAAAATTAATAAAATTGCAAATTGTGTAGTAATTTCTCAACTACATAAATACTTTTTACAATTATGAATTGATTCATCAATAAAAACAACTCATCAATGAAGCCGATTATTTAGTTAGATGTCAAATTTTTTTAAGTAACTGTAACTCTAATACAATAAATATCTACAATAGAATATCCATCGAAAGGAATAAACATTTAGATTATGTAAAGTTTAAATTATTTTCAAAATAAAGGGACAAATATCAATCAGAGAAGTCTATAAATACTAAATCAAAGTAAAACTTCACTTATAATGATATGTTACCAGATTCTACCATATATCAGTAAAATAAACTTGAAGAATATAAATTAGAAATCTATAATAAATCTATACAACTAATTGATATGAATCATAATTTTGTACATTAATTACAGAATTATGGCAAGAAAGTTATTTTGAGAACTCTAGACAAATGGAGAAAGATTTACTATTTATTAGATTTATTCCACTAAATAAAAAGCACAGAAGTCTTTTTTAATTAAAAAAATTGAACAAGTTAATATCACTACTGAATGATACAATGCTAAATAAAAATTCCATAAGGAATACGAATTACAATTCTTGTATAATATCAATAATAATCTAAAATTTATGCTCCTATTTAAAAAAGAAATATAAGATTAAAAAATGGAGTTTTTTATGTATCTACTCTCAGTCTTTATATATTTTACTGTTGTATTGTTTTTAATTGATTCTCTTTAAGAATTTTTTATGGATTCCTAACTGAGGAGAGATTTCTGAGGTAAATTTTTTAATCAATAACACTACAAGAAAAAACAACAGATGTTATTCAAAGGCCTAAATCTCAAACTTTTAAAATGTTTGTTAATTTAATTTTATATAAATATATTCTTGATAATTTTTTTAAACATTTAAGTATTGAGAAAAATAATTAAATTTGAGAATTTATTCTCAGAATTTGGGGAACAGTTGAAACTAAGTAATATTTAATAAATATATTCTCCAAGTAGATTTGAAAGAATTGTGATCTGAATATATTTGATTGGAAATTATTTTATAGATCTACTCATTTATTAATTCAATTATTAGATTGCCATTTGATTAATGAGTACAAGAATGATTAGAAGAACAATCATAGGTAAAATTATTTGTATTCTTCAAGATATTATTAAATAGTGCTCTTTCCACAATTATTTTACAACATTCTTAAATTAGTTGAATTAATGCTTGATAAATATTTAAAAATATTATCTGACTTTATTTTTATTACTACTTATGTCTTCTCATATTGGGTTAGCACAATATATAATCAAAAAAAATACATTTAGATTTATTTAATCTAACTAGTTGACAATGATAAAGTGATTCACTGAACATCTGCTTTTAAGGATTATCAAATATCTATAGGTTAGATTATTAAGAAATTAAAAAATTAAGTAGAAAAATTTCTCAATAAAAAGTTAATAAGTTTGCCTTAATAATAAATTATCAATGTATTAGGTTGTATTATATATTAATAATGTATAAAGTTAATTAAGAAATATAATAGGTTATTCTATCTTTTGAAAATAAATTAAAATCAATTGCTTTGATCCATAATTTTTAATTTTTAGATATAAATTGATCAATAAAAAAATTTCAAAATAATTGTTGTATAAATAAAGTCATTAATGATATAATTGTAGTTAATTGAAATCATTGGATCATTATTATACAATATAAAATAACTAATTGAATTTATATTATTAATGTGATTTCTATATGTATATTTGTGATATTAGAGTATGAAAAATATTTAATTAATTAATTATTTTATTTAGATTTAAAAATGGAAATCTTTAAGTGTAAATATATTGCCCATGAAAATGAAGAAATAATTGGATTTTGCTTGAATCAAAGTTGTTAAAATGCAACTCAATTTTGTTATTAATGTTTAAATACTACTCATTCAGAACATTTCAATGATTGTATAAGATTTTCTAAGATAATCTAATTTATCAAGGAGTTTGTGCTAAATTACAATAAAAGAAAGATATAATTTTAAGAAATCTCTTAACAAATTTAGAATTGTTCTGAATGCATTTTTAAGAAAATGGATTTAGACATTACAATATTAGAAAAAATGACTCAACAACTTATTGACTAAGAATACTTGACTTTTAAGTCATAAATTCCCATAATCAAATAGTTTTACTCAAAAGAAAAAGAAAATTACATATGTATATTATTATAATTAAATATTATTCTTGAAGCAATAAAAAAGATGATACCTCAAGAAATTTAAGTGGATGATAAAAATTTTTCAGAATATTAAGATGTAATTACAATGGTAGAGATTAAACAAGGGAGTGATGATGTTAAACAGTAGAATATTCAAGAGGCTTATAGAATATTAAATAAAGGTGTTAGTTTATTTTAAAATTAATAGGTTTAGCATTACATAATTTACAGAAATACTAAGAAGCGATTGAGTGTTACGACCAAGCAATTTTAATTAATCCTACTTATTATACTGCATGGAACAACAAGGGTACGTAATTTAAGATACTACTATTTAGGTTTTGCTTTACATCACTTATAGAAATATTAAGAAGCCATCGAGTGTTATGACAAAGCTATCTTAATTAATCCTAAAAGTGATGCTGGGTGGAATAATAAAGGTTATAAATTTTAAAGACTATTATTAGGGTTTTCATTAAATAATTTAAAGAAATACGTAAAAGCTATTGAGTGTTGCGACAACGCCATTTAAATTAATTCTTAAAATAATTCTGCATGGAGTAACAAGGGTGCGTAATTTTTAGAATTATTAATTAGGGTTTGCATTAGATAAATTAAAGAAATATTAAGAAGCGATTGAGTGTTATGATAAAGTTATCTAAATTAATCCTAAATGTGACGTAGCATTAAGTGATAAGGGTAAATAATTTAAACTACTATTATTTAGGTTTGGCATTATATAATTTACAGAAATATTAAGAAGCCATTGAGTAATGCGAAAAAGCCATTTAAATTAATCCTTAAAATAATTCTGCATGGAATCATAAGGGTGCGTAATTTTTAGAATTAGTAATTAGGGTTAGCATTAGATAAATTATAGAAATATTAAGAAGCAATTGAGTGTTATGATTAAGCTATCTAAATTAATTCTAAATATGATATTGCATGGACTAATAAAGGTGAGGACTTTTAAAATATTATAATTTAGGTCTTGCATTAAATACATTAAAAAAATATAAAGAAGCTTTTGGGTGTTACGATAAAGCTATCGCATTGAATCCTAAAAATGATACTACATGGATTAATGCGGGTAATTAATTTCAGCTTTAGTTTTAGGTTAAGCTTTATATAATTTACAGAAATATTAAGAAGCTATTGGGTGTTATGATAAAGCTATCCTAATTGATCCCATAAATTATCCTGCATTAAATAATAAGGGTAATAAATTTTTAAGGACTATTAAATAGGTTTTGCATTAGATAAATTACAGAAATATTAAGAAGCGATTGAGTGTTATGATAAAGCTATCTCAATTAACCCAAAATATGATGTGGCATGGAATAATAAAAGTAATTTTTTATAAGGATTGTTTTTTAGGTCTTGCATTAATTAATTTACAAAAATACTAGGAAGCTATTGAGTGTTGTGACTAAGCTATTTTAATTAATCCTTAAAATAATTCTGCATGGAATCATAAGGGTATATAATTTTTAAAGTTTTATGCATTAGGGCTTGCATTAGGGAAATTACAGCAATACTAACTAGCATTTGAATGTTTTGACAAAGTTATCTTAATTAAT